AGGAAGACGTAGGCGTCCTGGGCAGCCATTGGACCCCCCATCCCGTCGTAGTCGGAAGACGTGTTTGAGTAGGAGAATCCTACGCCGGCGGGTGATTCCAGGAAGATGACGTTGGCCACTGCAAGTTTTGATGGTGCAAGGTACATAAGGTTTTGATATGTACATTTACAAAGTTTGACCAATTTGATAGAAAACACCACAAACATTTAAAATAACAAATATTAAAATATTCAATGATGAATCTAATAATATTGATCAGATCTAATGTATTGGAGGCAGCAGAGTGACATTTCAAAAGGGAAATGGATGGTTACCGTTGTTCCAGGCATACTTGTCCCTCGTGAGGGTTTTGCCGTCCCTGTCTGCACGGAAAGGGCCCAACTCTCGCATCGCTCCATGGCCGAGCGATGAGCATCCAGGCCCTGCTCCACATCAAACCTCCCTCCCATGTTGCAAGTGTACTTTCACGGTGCAACATAATTCACACTAGCTAGCTGTAGTGTCTTTCTTACCTCCATTGAGCCAGAGGAGGAGTGGTTTCGCCGTCGCATCGCCGGGCGCTTCAACGAAGTAGTAGAAGAGAGCACGGCCATTGTGGCTGTCGACGGCCACGTACCCACCGTACTGGTCGAAGTCGACACCCTCAGGCTGCCCTGGCAGCGCCGGGATCTTGTCGGCCACCTTCAGAGCACCGTGGTCGGAGGCGGGGTACTCATCTGTTCGGAGGCTGCCGAGAACCGACTTGTCATATAAAGTAGGATCATTAGTGGTGGTGGTGGTGGTGGTGGTGGTGTCTGTTCTTCTAGATAAAAGGAATTTGGTTAGATGGGCCTCCTGAGATGCACGGGCGTGCAATCCCAAAGTGGTGCAATCCCAAAGTGGGAATAAAAAGCAAAAGGTGCAATGCAGCAGCAGCAGTAAACTTCCCCATATATCGTGTGTGAGTGAGATCGATGATGGTGGAATCGTGCGGTTTTTTTATAGGCCATGGAGGCGTGGAGGTTGTGCTATATTTTTTGGGAGTGTGTATATATGTATTTATGACCAATACTCCATATCATCTGCACAATATCAAATCCAGATCTACCATGATACTATGTTTTATAACTATAGATTGGATGGATATTTTTTCTCGTATATATTCAACAGAACTGTCATGCTTTCATTATATACCAAAAAACTATAAATACATCAAGCTAGTAGTATCAAACATCTATAAAAAATGATAAAACTATTTGTGCGGCGCCATCCCTTCTCTTTCTCCCACAGGCATACAACCAAAGATATGAATCTATGCAAGCAGCGTTTTATCATGCGTATATCAAGATTAAATGAAATAACAGACCTATTATACGAAAAAGAAATGACTAAAAATAAAAAAAGGTGCACCAGCCGGGAATCGAACCCGGGTCTGTACCGTGGCAGGGTACTATTCTACCACTAGACCACTGGTGCCTCGATGACATTTTTATTTGAAGCTTATATAATATGACCGTCTAGACCACTGTTCAGCTTCGATGCTGATCAACTAATACATGTGCTGATCCCTATAGCCTCCATGGTGATCCCCGTGGCCAGCGAGCTCCGCCTCTCGTGCTACTTCTTCTTTACCACGGGCGCCACGATGTTCTCCCGCTGGTGCTTCTTTTCTATTTTCGTTCATCAGGTTTGTCGAGTGTTTACCGACCGGTTTCCGCCGACTTTCATCACCCGTTATTTCAGACAAACATTTTAGGAGCTCCTATATATCGAGAATGGGCTTCCACAGATGAGCCCGACGCGGTTTTCAGTAATGTGGTGTGCAACGGGAAGAAGTGTATGTGCAAACAAGATCATGTTCGCCGTGTGTGCAACAAAGGCATTGACATGCAGAGAAGATTTTTGGATTGCCCTTTCAAGGTTAGTTGTCATAGTTTGTATGTGGTTGACTAGCTAAAAATTAAAAGAATCTAACAAAATCGTGTTTCTTGCAATGCACATGATTACAGGGCATGCGCATATTTCAAGTGGCTTGACAAAGAAAGGGAGGGGAGGGCAAGAATTGTTATGAGGGAGCTTGCTAGCGAGAAATTAATGCTGGAGAAGAAGATCAAAATGAAGAAGGCTCGGAATGAGAGGTTCAAACTGGAGAGGAAGACGATAGCCGCTAGAATGCACAAGTATCAACTACAGTCCAAGACTAGCATGCTAATATGTGATGTTTCCATATTTTGTGTGTTGTTTGCCGTTGTGTTTACAGTAGTTGGCAACAAGTACAGACTGGTTTAACCGTATAAGTGTGATATAATATTTGCAAAATATTTTGTTGGACTAATTATGTACAAATATGTCATACTATTTTTTCTTTCATGTCATAGAAGGCATGAGCATCACTTGTAGTCGCGTGCATGCCTCAATGTTTGTTGGACTAGTTAACATATGCTCTAATATTTAGTACATATTAGTGCATACAGTAATTAGTCCGGCAAAAGATAAAGATTTTGCATATGTGTGACTACATGTGTTGCCTATTGGCTTAATGTCACCTGCATAATAAATTATGAGAACAAAATAATATAGTTTGTTTTTTAAAATTCTTAACGGCGACGAGCAGGAAAAAGAGCTTGACAATGTTATTAGTCACAACAATGACAAACAGGAAAAAGCGCTCGCCGCCACTGGTGTGACAATGTTATTAGTGACAACAATAACTTACAGGGGAGCAAGTACTTTCTCTTTATATGTGGGATTCTAAGGAATAGGGAACGGAACAAATACATTTGTTTGGACCTCCTACCATGGTGCGTACGAGGGATTGACTCCCCCTTATCTCTCGGTTAGTTAGGAGTCGAGATCAATATTCCAATATTCTCCCCCTTGATGGTAATATTCATTCATTATAAGTCCATCCTTAATAGAATACACATACCAAAATCAAGTGTTGTAGTGACCAGTTAAATGCAAGCGAACCACAATACTTATAGTATGATCCAAGGGATTAAGCTTTTGGAGGTTCTGGTAGTTTGCTTGGGTGCTTACTTGTTTTCTTTGATACATAGTCACTAGTAGAAAACAGGGCTTTGGTCCAGGCCGGGTTAGCCCATTAGTCCCGGTTCAGTCATTAACCGGGACTAATGTGAGCATTGGTCCCGGTTCATGCGGCAAAGACATTAGTCCTGGTTCAAATGAGACCTTTAGTCCCGGTTGGTGCCACGAACCGGTACTAATGGGTGCGATGCCCATTAGTACCGGTTCATGGCACGAACCAGTACTAAAGGTTAAGGCATTAGTACCAGTTCGTGGCACGAACCGGTACTAAAGGTCCCATTTTCAAACTGTACCCCCCCCCCAATCGCCTTTTCAGTTTTGTAAAAAGCAAAAGAAAATGATAAAAACTTCAAAAATTAAAATCCTTCGAGATGTTGTTATGTTACTACATCTACTAGTTAGGAAAATTTAAAAACTTAAATTTGGACATGTTTTGCAAAAAGTGTAGAGAAAATGTAAAACGGCTATAACTTTTGCATACTATGTCAGAAAAAAACGTATAATATATCAAAATGTTCAGCAAAAAAATCCGCATCCGATTTTGACGGCCTATGGCCTATTTGCAAATTTTTAGAATCCTCAAATTCTAAAAAGAAAAAAAGTTATGCTCAAATTTCAGTTTTTTTTATTTTTTGTTAAATCTGGTCAAACTATGGTCAAACTACTTATTCAAGAAATATTAGTGTTACTAAATAATTATTCAAGAATATCAGTGTTACTATATAATTATTTTAGTTTTTTTGAAATTTGGTCAAATCTGGTCAAACTATGGTCAAACTACTTATTCAAGAAATATTAGTGTTACTAAATAATTATTTCAGTGTTTTTGAATTTTGGTCAAATCTGGTCAAACTGTGGTCAAACTACTTATTCAAGAAAGTATTAGTGTAACTAAATAATTATTGTTTTTTAGAACAATAATTTCAACTCAAACAGTGAAATGTGTGACTTCATTCTCAAGCTAAATTCCTGAGGGTTAATAGGATTGACATCTTACTATTGTCAGGAAAACAACAAGTGCAGACTTGAAAACAAGGGAGAATAGAACCTGGAAGTGAGATGGGTGACCGTCCGGGAAGTTAGATGATGAGGGATGATTAGAGATTAGAGATTAAATTGAGCAGTGATGAGGGTGATTAAAGATTAGAGGTTAAAATAATTCAGAAATTTAAAAATAAAAAAAAACGAAAATTTTCAAAAAAAATATCATAAAATTTCCTTTGGTACCGGTTGGTGTTACCAACCGGGACTAAAGGTGGACCTCCAAGCAACGGCCACGTGGACGGCCTTGGACAATAGGCCCTTGTACTAGTGAGTGATGCCTTCTTTTGTTTCAAAAATTGTGGAACAAAGTAAATGGTTACTGGTTTCTTAATTGGTAAGCACCCATCCAAGAGTGTGGCGCCCAGGAGCGTGAGAGAGTACTCCACTAATTATTTGGGCTTTCTAATACTCCACTGATCATGAGAGTACAAAGGACTAGACCTAGTCTTTGTTTTTTCCCTAATAAATATGACGCAGAGTGCATGATTTAGTCCCACATCGACAAAGGAGATAGGAACACCCTAGAATGTAGACTTTAGAGTCAACCAGAGCTTATTCCTCCCCCGGAAAAAAAAACCAGAGCTTATTCCTGAAGTTAAAAGATACATCTGAGAAGGAAAAAACACAGTAAGTATGCAATTGAGAAGGAGAAATATTACCCGAAAAAAGAGAGAAGGAGAAATACAATTCTAAGGATGCAACTGTGAAGGACAAACATATATAGTTGGAAGGACACATCACTCGGATTTTATAGGGTAAAGTTGCACCATTTAGCAAAACACACATAACCAAACTTGTAGTCGCGTGCATCTTCTTGGTGAAAGACCGAAAGCGCAAATAGATGAAATATGTACTATCACGGTAATGAAACTCGCTACATGACATGATGGCATTAGATTACACCATCCATCGTAAAACGAGAGCAAAAACTACTTTGCCTTCTCGTAAGGCGGGAGGATCCCTTTGAGAAAGGACTGGAGCAGTATGAGGGCTCTCTCGGGTTGGAAGGTCGGGACCGTGTGCCCTGCTCCTCTCACGGTAGCGAACGTGAACCCTCCCTTGTACTGTTGAACATAGCCCCCTACCTCATGGCTGACCGTCCATGGACGCCATGGCTCGGTGACGGAGAGGTTGAGGTCGCGGATGGCGTGCCTCGTGCTGGTGATCGGGCACCTTGAGTCCAAATCCCCACTGAAAATCATTTTGTTAGTTTGAGTACCAACAAGAAGCATACATGTTTGCAATGGTCTGCAGTGGACGTGGATTACCTGAAGAGCCACACGGGCAAGCCATGGCCGATTAGCCATTTCAAGGTTGGCACCATGGTATCCGGCGAGTCCTTGAAATCCACAAAGATTCTGCACCAACATAACACACGAGGCCAGTTAGACAGGTCAGTTCATGAAATCGAACAAGAATATACTAATATGCATATAAGGCTCTTTCAGGGTGATCTTAGGTGTTCGTACTTGCAGTCACTCCATTTGGTTTCTCTAGCATGGAAAGCCCTTTGCACCGCAGGAAGGTTCAGGTAGGCCATGGTAGGCGCTTCGCCGCACGGATCGTACCCAGGTAACTGAAAGAAGACACTTCAAGCACTTGCTAGAATGCAACTTGTAGAATATATATGTACTCCCTCCGTTCGGAATTACTTGTCGCATAAATGGATGTATCTAGACGTATTTTAGTTCTAGATACATCCAGTTCTGAGACAAGTAATTCCGAACGGAGGGAGTATATGTTTAGTGAACCAAGTCTTTGTTATACTCATCCATACTTGGCTGCTGGAGTAGTAGGAGCCGTTGTTGTCAGTGATGCAGGTGGGAGCGTATATGTTGTAGATGTCGAGGTCCTCACTCTCATACTGGGATTTAGTAATAGCTTTGTAGCACCTATCATCACCATAGGCGGAGTCGTCGCTGAAGTTGCAGTGGCCGGCGATTTCGGCCCATACCTCGTCGGAGATCACCCCGTGGTTCCATAGGTACTCGTGGTGCCCTCTCTCCTCCTTCGCGTCGTCCAGAAGCGGGTTTCCGACCAAGATGCCCTTGAGATTTAGTATGACACCCGTGTCGTTGTTGTGGGCTAAGATGGTGGCGGCGAGCTGGGGCACATAGTGGCCGGCGTAGCTCTCGCCGGCGATGTAGAGGGCGCGTGCCTTGTACTCGGGGAACCTGTCAAGCCAGTTGACGAGGAAGGCGTAGGTGTCCTGGGCTGTCAATGGATCCCCCATCCTGTCGTAATCAGAAGACGTGTTGGAGTAGGAGAACCCCACGCCGGCGGGTGATTCCAGAAAGATGACGTTTGCCACTGCAATAAGGTTTTGATATACATTTACAAAGTTTGACCAAATTTATAGAAAACAACACGAGCATTTAAAATAAAAAAATTTATATGTGATGTCAAAATATACACCATTATATCAATATTATTGATTTGGTATTTAGAGATGCCAATAAGTTTTCTATAAATTTGATCAAAGTTTATAAAGTTTGATTTAAGGCAGAGCTAGTATGCAGAGTAAATAAAAACAAAAGGAGTACTAGAAATTAAGATTTTTATCCCTTTTCCTTACACCTATTTTGATACGAGTATTGTTAAAATGGGAATATATAGGACCATTACCGTTGTTCCAGGCATGGTTGTTCCTAGTGAGGGTTTGGTTGTCTCTGTTCACCCGGAAAGGGCCCAATTCACGCATCGCTCCAAAGCCCAGCGACGAGCACCCAGGCCCTGCATGCATGCTCCATATATTAATCCAAACCGGCATATAGTGTTCAACAATACGCAATGGTACTAGCTAGCTACTAGTAGTAGAGTGTATCTTCCTCACCTCCGTTGAGCCACAGGAGGAGTGGCTTCGCCGCCGGGTTGCCGGGAGATTCCACGAAGTAGTAGAAGAGTGCACGGCCATTATGGCCGTCGACAGTCACGTACCCGCCATACTGGTCGAAGTCGACGCCCTCCGGCTGCCCTGGCAGCGCCGAGATCTTGTCGGCCGCCTTCAGAGCGATGTGGTTGGAGCCCGGGTACCCATCTGTTCGGGGGCTGCTGGTGATTCTGAGAAATGGTCCGCCATGGAAACCGGTAGGATCACCAATTTTGTTGCTGATGTTGCTTTTGGATCTTTTAGACGAGAGGAATTTTGTGAGATGCGCTTCCTGAGATGAGGCATGGGCATGCAATGCAATTGTGGGAATGAGAAATAAAAGATGGAATCCAGCAGTAATAGTCCCCATCTCTTGAGACAATCGACTATTCAACTATGTGTGAGATCGATGATGGTCTAATTCACATGGATTTTATAGGTCATGGAGATAGGTAGCTAGGGAGAACAACGATGCCATCTGAGCAAGATCAAATCCGAATTAATGTACTGCCATAATATGCTTTTGACACATGCAGGCGAAATCCGCTGTTTCTGTAGCTATTATTTATGGCAGAATCAATGCTTTAATTGTACTCATTTACGTACCAAAATAATGTAAACACGCAAGCAGACATCTGAAAATAAATAAGTATGGTCAATATTTTATTTTATTGTGGAAACGATCGAAACTTTTTGTAGTGGGCAGAAGATAATGGATGGCTATGTATATACTCCCTTCAGTGACATCTATGCCTCTAGTGATGCACGAAAATACATACTCCACAACTTCCTCTTACGCAACACTCTCTTCAGCAAGTCTATGTTTCTCATGGTGCTAGACACGGTCGTTTTCCATAAGACTTGCAAAGCTTCTCATGAAGTTTCCCCCCGACAACTTCATTGTCGCCGTGATAAACAACACGAACTACCTGTCGAACACATTTTAGCAAGGAAATGGTGTGTGGTTGCCTGAGCCGGAAAAAAGCATAGGAGGAGACAAACACTATGCGATCACAAAGGCTCGAGATCTCATACCGCCCAATCTTAATTCAAGTCATTTTACAGGTTGGACTTTACTCGGGAAAAGGTGAAGGGGCAAAAACAAGTACTTATACAAGTGGCAAGATCACGGTGTGCATGATTTAACATGAAGATTAGATGAACTAACATAGATGAAAATAAAGGACCAAAAAATGAAGAGACTGGAGTAGCCAAGAGTCAAACCCGGAAGAGTGGGCACAAACACACCATGATTTCGCTCTCACTACTCTTCTCCCTCTGCTTTTGATGTCTATAAAACAAAAAAACAAATACTTATACAAGTGAGAAGATCACGGCGTGCAGGATTTAGCATCAAGATTAGATGAATTAACATGGATGAAATTCTCAGAACTCAAAACAAACATAGATGGACCAAAAAATGCACCAGCCGGGAATCGAACCCGGGTCTGTACCGTGGCAGGGTACTATTCTACCACTAGACCACTGGTGCCTTACATTTTCATTTGAGGACTTTGAATAACCATTTCTTTAGCCTAGCAAAGACAGGGCGCATGAACCATTCCTGTATCACAGTCATGAATTGCAATGAGCAAGCGGGTCTCTCAAATAGAGTCGAACTGAACCATAGACTACGTTGAGTGATTAACTCACTACTTTCAGATTTCTCTCCTATCTCATTCATAAACTACTCTGTAAAGAAATATATGAGTGTTTAGATCACCTTGTTGATCCAAGTCCACCAAGAACAACCAACACTCCCTTCACTACTGGAATCTGGTTCTTTGCCATATACTCGGTACTCGACGAAGGTCGATGTCCGCTCGGTAAACACTTCTCCGAGTGTTACACTCGGCAAAGCCTACTCGGCTTACCCCTTTTCAGGGTTATTAACCTAAAGATAGGGCATCTCCATGACCTCCATGATGATCCCCGCCATGTGACCAGCGAGCTCCGCCTCGTGTGCTACCACGCCTTCTTCACCGCGCCTGCCGTCATGTTACCACCGACGCCGCCTCATTGTTTTTTTTTCATTCATCATGTTTGTCGAGTGTTCCATCGATTTTCATCGCCCGTTATTGTTTTTAACTGAGCATAAATCTTCGCCGAGGCGAGTATGCAACCCAAAACACAAGATAAAAGAATGCACGCCGTGACTGATCTATATATGCAACATCAAAACCGCAGGGCGCTGTTACTTGGTGTCACATGTGTGGCATTTATCATTTGGATACATCTGTTGCGTTGCAGGATTACATCCACATGAAGAATACGATGAGCAAGCTAGATCTCTTGGTCGTCGTCCTCCATGGCGTACATGGCCTCCGGCCGGCCATCCTCCAGAGCGCGCACCCGCCCACGTATCCTCCGCAGCGTGCCCTCCACGGCAATGTCCACCGCGTCCATGCTCGCCTCCCTCATCCTCTCTGCCGCGCTACCGTGCCGCCGGTAGACCACTCTCGGCGCCAGCTCCAGAAGCCGCTCCCGCATCCTGGCCACCTCCTCCTCCGGCACCGCCGCCAGGGTCTCCATGATCTGCACGCCCCCCAGCATCACCGCGTCCTTGGGTATGGTCACCGAGAACTCCTCGTACCTCTCCGGCGGCAGGTGCCACCCGTACTGCGTTCTCGCCGACGCGTCCTCGAAGAACACCGGCACGCACCCGGCCACCACCGCGTCGAACGTCGAACGCCGCGTCGGCGTGTCCCCCGGCGGCTCCAGGCAGAACTTGGCCTTCAGCATGGGCCGCATGGAGCGCACCGGGTCGAGCGCGCAGGACCCGCCATGGCAGTCGACGACGGTGCATGTGTCGGTGCGGTTCGCGCACTCGGCGAGGATGAAGCTCCGGATGTTGGGGCGGGACGGCCTGGTCACGGTGCCGGCGTAGAGCATCAGCGCCGTGCGGCGCGAGCGGCGCGCGCGGGCGATCCATGCGCGGAGCCGTGGGAGGGACGATGGGTGGAAGGACGTCGGGTGCGGCACGGCGTGCTCCTGCCACGGCCACGCGCGGGACTCGAGCGTGAGGAAGGTGAAGTTGTCGAACTCGGGGCGGCGGAGCAGCGAGGTGGTGCCCCAGAGCCTGGGATCGGTGTCGGCCGGCTGCGCGTAGTCCCAGGCCGGGCCGGCGAGCACGAGGAAGTGGTCGTGGCCGTGGCGCCGGGCGAGGACCCGCGGGCGGTCGGTCGCGAGGAACTGGGCGAGGGCGGCGCCGTGCGCGCCGGAGAAGTTGAGCATGGCGGGGTCGAGGAGGAAGGGGAGCGCGTCGAGGGAGGCGTAGTAGGGGAGGAAGACGGCGTCGGCGCGGGCGGGGTCGTCGGCGAGGCAGTCCCGGTCGAGGAGGCGGCGGTGGAAGAAGGGCTCGAGGAGGCGCACGTCGGTGCGGTACCAGGAGCGGGAGCGGTTGTGGGTGCGCGGGCCGAGGCCGTGGTTGGCGAGCGAGGCGCAGGAGGGCGTGGCTAAGGGGTGGTCGGCCAGCGGGAAGGCGCCGTCGCAGTGGCGGAGGAGGTCCGTGTTGAAGCGCGCCGGGAGGCGCCGGACGTGGATGCGGCGGCCGGCGCATGGGTCCGGCAACGGCACGCCGTGGACGGCGGTGGAGGAGAGGATCACCAGGAGGAGGAGAGGCAGGTTTGCCCTAGTTATCAGGAGATCGCCCGCCATGTCATGCATGTTGGGTGGATCCCTCGATCGAACGTGAGAGAAGAAGAGCGCGCGGATTGGATGCATGCATGGGCATGGGCATGGGCATGGCAAGATTATTTAGCGGATCTGGGCTTGAATTTTCAGGGAATGCGGCGGCCGGCGCATGGGTCCTGGCTCCGGCACGGCGACGGCGTTGGGGGAGAGGATTTCCAGGAGGAGGAGGAGAACAAGGTTTTGCCCTAGCTAATTGTTAGGAGATCCCGCGCCGTGGCATGTCATGTACTCATGTGGATCGAACGTCAGGAGGAGAAGAAGAGCGCCCGGATCGGATGCATGCACAACAAAGTTTAGCGGATCGGACGCATACCAAGTTTTGGGTGTTTTTTTGCGGGGTAAGCAGGTCCCTTTCATAAATTATTATAAGCAATGGGGTTACTAGCGTAGCAAAGTGTTCGTAATTTTTCTTTTTTTTCGACAAAGTTCGTAATTTTTCTAACACAGCACAAATGTAGATACTCACGTATATACACTCATCCATCTCTAATTCTGTGTTGAACGCATGCAGGCACATCCCACCTCCGAAATATTGAGTCGGTACAACATCTTAATAACATCAACGAATTTATCATAGGTGTTTTCGTGATAGACGAGAACACTCCTCCCACTGAACAACTAAACTTGTAGTATGCGATGATGAAGAAACATGTTCCATTCATATGTCTAGCTGCAAAGGATTTTGGGTGATCTAGGCTCGTTTCTTAGAACGTTCTTTGGGCAGTGGTTTTTTGAAGAAACGCTCTATAATAAATTTGTTTGCTTGAATGAGGCTTCCTGAGGGAACGATTCGTGCAAGGGTTCCTATAAGAAGTGTCAGCCCCTCACTATGTTTTTTAGGTGGAGTAGATTTCATTATCTCTACTATTAAAAAGTTCTTGCGTCATTCATCTAGTCCCCAAAACATTCATAGGGCGCGGCGAATGTACGCAGGGGATATTTTGCACGCGAGTGCACACGGGACGAAATATTTGCCGGTGGCATGCGGATTGAGCTGGGAAATTTTGGCACAATGAGATTGTTGGAGGCGGGAGATATTTCAGAGGCATCATCCAGGATTTACAAGGTGCGCTCGAGATATTTTGGAGGATGTGTGCACGCAGGCAGGCCGAAATATTTGCAACGTGCATGCGGGACGATTTTTCGGCACAAGCGGATTGAGTGGGGGCGGGAGATATTCCGGGTGCGGCGTTGGAAATTTTGCATGACTATAAATCCAAAGAAATGCGAGCACCGGTATTAAGTGTAGGACTTGAACTTTGGTGGTTGGGATACCACTGTCCTCCTAACCATCTAACCACAGGGTTGGTTCGCGCTGGGCACGGATTGATGTGATTGGCCTGTCACAACCCTCCCACGGATCGATCCCGTCTTCAGCTCATCTGAGTCGTTTGTCTATATCCAATGGAAGAAATAGTAGGAGAGGACCATGAATATTTCATTCACGAGGAAAGACCAGAACGTCAAATCCAAACTCGTTCATGGGTAGGAAATTCACTTGGACCATGGAAGCCACAATTCACGACGGACCCAAATTTTGTGTGTGCACCATACGTGCCAACCTGTACGTACGATTGAAATCAGTTGTTTTTTTTTCCTTTTCAACGCTTAGCAAAAAAGGGGTTCACTAGACAGATGCCCTAAGCGCAGGAGCGAGGCCCGGAATATTTCTAGAAGAAATTGGTACGGGATCAGAAAATATTTTGGGCGAGGAAATCCAGTTGAGCTGCACAACGGAGAGAACGCCCTTTTTTTTTTCTAGACAAATTTCCAATCTATTCATCAATCATGGTAATACAAAAGGTAATAATAATTAAAACCAGGTCTATGGACCACCTAGCGACGATTACAAGCACTGGAGAGAACGCCAATTACATTGGACCCGACGCTAGTGAGGTAAGGCCGCATGTGATCCCGAGCGTCGGGTCCAGCTATCTGAGGAGGGGGCGCGGTGGAGCAGGAAGGTGGTGCCCCAGAGCCTTGGGTCCGTGTCGAGCGGCGCGCGAGGAGGTGCGGGCGGTTCAGCGCAAGGATCTAGGCAAGGAGGGCGCCATGGGCACAAAAGAACTTGAGCATGGAGGGTTCGAGGAGGAAGGGGAGTGCGTCGGGGGAGGCGTAGTAGGTGAGGAAGACTACGTCGGTTCGGGCAGGGTCGCTGGCAAGGCAGTCGAGGAGGCGACGATGGAAGAAGGGCTCGAGGAGACGCGTGTCGGAGCGATACTAGGAGTGGGAGCGGTTGTCATTTGTGCGGGAGCCGACGCCGTGGTTGGTGACCAAGGCGCATGAGGGCGTAGCGTAGGGATGGTCTGCAAGCGGGAAGGAGGTGCCACAGTGGCTGAGGAGGTCCGCATTGAAGTGCGCAGGGAGGCGCCAGACGTGGATGCGGCAGCCGATGCATAGGTCTGGGTCCGACATGACGTGGACGATGGTGGAGGAGAGGATCACCAGGAGGAGAACAAGGCTTCCCCTGATTGTTAGGAATAGGAGATCACGCATCATGCCATTGCCATTGCCATTGCCATGCATGGCAAGCATGTTTAGTGGATCTGTATTGAACTAGCAGGCGGAGGTGCGGCGCCACGCCGTGCCCATATTTAAGCCTGTTGATGATTCTCTTGTGTCTTAATCTGTTGTGTTTAAGCCCGTCGATAAGTCTCTTGTGTCTTAACCTATTGTTCTTTGCTGTTGAGATGATAGAGCTGATATATTGTTGCAATGGCACATTTGATAAGTGGGATTTTTAGTACACATCAATGGATCAGGATCGATAGAGACCTTTTATCTCTTTGTTATTTGGTCCAATGTCCGTGAAACTTTTTCTACTTATGATATTTTTTATTTAGCTTGAATATGTTCTTGGCTAAAAGGGAAATGAAACGTGATACATACGTACCATGTCCATTACATAGAAATCCAATTAAACCGACCATCAAAATATTCTTCTCCATATAACAGAGAGGAGTAAAAGGTCATCCAAAATTATCATATGTCCTTCGTTTCAACAACATAATTTACACGATAGCAAGATGTGTCATGTAGAACACCCTATACATAAAGTTATTGAATCTTTGTCAACTGAACATAGCCAAAAAGGAAACATACATGGCAACACCACTGGAACCTCTAATGCAATTCTGAAAGATTACCTCATGATCAATGTTACCAACATCAAGGAGGTTCGATGGGCCTTTCTTCAAGTTCACCATGAGTTGCTTCTGCTAGAAGCCTCTCTGGAACAGCAACAACATGATCAGTACTAATAGGTTCAGTAAATCCTATATTAGAAAAATTACCTATGGGTGGCACAAAAATATAACTCTGCCTTGTATAGGTTGTACAAAATAAAAGAAGTTCAAGTGCAAGAAATAGTTTCTTTAATTTGAAGAAAGATAAACATATCAATGCATTTGGAAGAAAAAATCCAGGTAAGTTGCTTTGTTTGCTAACAAAGATGATAAACATGGCAAGATTTATGCCTTTTATTTGATTGTAACAGTATGCACATGTGGAAATTAAGCATCATGGACAGTAAGAAATATGAATACCTGGATTTTTTTTCACATGATGGTAATAGTATGCACATGTGAACAATGCATATCGCATACAATGGCACGGTCACTGCTGCCTTTTTAAGCAAATTTGGAGCCAGTTTGACCGTAATGGCCTCACGTCTTTGAACCTGCATTGCGGATATAACTCAACATAGTGTACTCTCATGATTCAAAACTAAGATATTTTGAAAAGGTGGACCATTTTTTTCCAATCGTTAAGTAGACACACTATCTTTCTCAATTCTTGCTGAAGCTACTACTTATTTAGCAATGGTTGGGTGTTGCTACTAACAGTCAAATATGAAAGTTGTGTGTTTTACATGAAGTGTTAGATCATGCCAACAGACAAACATATAGAGCAATGGCAATCACATAAATCTACAAATTGTTAAGAACTCGTGATTTGTAAGTAGTATTTAAATACTTCTTTCTAAGTGTATAGCTAATCTGAAAATTTCATACATAATGGCAATCACATAAACATAAAGTATTTTTTTTATTGCAAGCACAACAACAATAGCAAGCTCCTTATCCTGCAATCTTTAAATATTTATTGTGACAAAAAATTTCTCAAAGTTGTAATAGAAGGCCAAAAGGGAACTCGAAATAGGAAGCCTAAAAAAATACACTGTATAAAGGTTGCATTAGTGCCTACCATTTTAATGAGGCAATAAAGACAATTGTACAATGTATAAAGCAATGAGTAGGTTTGACCTAGTTATTTGGAGATCACGCGCCATGTCATGCATGTTGGGTGGATCCCTCGATCGAACGTAAGAAGAGCGAGCGGACGGATCAGATGCATGCTTGGCATTCCTCGATTTAGCAGAACTGGGATTGAATTTCCGTGGCAAGTCTGTTTAACGATTTTCTGAAATTTCCACGCGTTTGGTAAATCCTAGGTGCCTGAAATATTTTCTGGTGTCGGTCGATTTCACAAAGGCTGAAAGCAAAGACAACGTGAGGAGCGACAGCGATGAGGCTGAGCCAGGACCTCGCCGGACGCTGCTAGCCGGCGATAGCCGGAGTTACCGCTTATGATCGTTGGCCACAACGAGGCTGAGCCGGGACCTCGCCAGAAACAAGGACAACACTCCGGCGTCCCCGCGGTCGCCAGAGTTGTCGCTCAGTATTGTGTCCTCCCAGTTGAAGCTGATGAAGGTCAAGGGATCTGGCGGCCACCAGAGTTGCTGACAATCCTCCGCGTGTTGCTGCTGCTTCTGTGTCTAGCTGGAGAGATTGTGTTTGTTGGCTATTTAGCATAGTTTTAAATAGCCGGCTATAGCTCCGCTATAGCCTTTTTAGTAGGGTGCCGCTAAATGGTCGTCTTCACAAATAGCCCGCTGTAGCTGATTTGGAGGCCCGCTGCTATTCTCCATAGCCCGCTATTTAAAACATTGCTATTTAGGCTCGATTAGTCCAACTCCACATGGCCCTTGAGATCATTCTCCGGCTTGACGTCACGCAAGAGCTCAGGCTGCTCAGCCCAGCGGAGTGGAACCTTACAAAGGCGTTGAAAAGGATAGTGTTGGTCTTGGCGGTCCTTGAGCGAGCAAGGAAGAGATAAAGCTCGCGAATTAAGTTGCTCAAAGAGGGAGATGCTAACACTCGGTTTTTTCATCTCCGTATCAACCATCATCGAATGAAGAATTTCATTCACCGACTTAAACACAACAATGGCTGGGTTACGCGCCATGATCACAAGAAAGTGATTATTCAGCACCACTTTTCGAAAGCTATTGGGAAGGGCCCTCTCGCGCCAAGGACTTCAATTGGGCTTCTATCCCACAATCGATGTCTAATCTCTCTGAGCTAGATGCTTTGTTCACAGAGGACGAGGTTCGGGCAGCCAATCAATGATCTTCCCTGTGATAAAGCTCCCGGCCCTGACGACTTCATTGGAGCGTTTTTCAAGGAATGTTGGGACATCATCAAGCCGGAACTTATGAAAGCGATCAATAGCTTCTCAACTCTCCACACTTCCAGCCTTCCCTGGCTCAACTCAGCCAATAGTACCCTAATCCCAAAGAAAGATGGGGTGGACGACATTTCTGACTTTAGACCCATAAGTCTCATCTAGGCCGCTGCGAAGATCATTGCTAAGATGATGGCCACTCATCTCGCCCCTCACATGCCAGATCTCGTTTCCAATACACAAAGTGCTTTCATCAAGAAGAGGAGCATTCATGACAATTTCATGTACGTACGCAACTTGGCTCGCCGTTTTCATCGCAACAAATCTCCAACCATGCTTCAAGTTAGACATCAAGAAAGCTTTCGATTCGTTTAGATGGGACTATTTGATGGATTTATTGATGCACCACCACTTTCGAAACCGTTTTCGTGATTGGACCTCCGCCCACCTATCCACGGGCTCTTCCAGAGTTCTCCTCAATGGTGTGTCGGGCGACCCCATTATGCACGGTCGCGGTCTTAGGCAGGGGGACCCCCCTCCCCCTCCCCCCTCCTTTTTGCCCTCGCCATTGACCCGCTCCATCACATCCTCGTCACGGCCACCGATCAAGGCAAGCTTCACCCACTCCGAGGCAACCCCATTCGGGCCTCCCTGTATGTTGATGATGCGGCCATCTTTGTCGCACCAATTAAGGAGGATATCCATTTTCTGGCATCGACGCTCTGCGCCTTTGGTGATATTACTGGCTTGGTTACCAACTATGAAAAAGTCGTGTGGCGCCCATTCATTGTGCCAATATCAATCTTGATGACATTCTGCAGGCCTTCCCGGCGGTACGGACAGCCTTCCCCATGAGATATCTTGGTCTTCCTCTTTCAGTTACGAGGCTGAAGCGCATACACTTCCAATACTTAGAGGAAATGGTGGCTGGGAAGCTACCCCCCTGGTCGGCCATGCATGTGGCCACTCCTGGGCGCATTGTGCTGGTCAAGGCCGTCCTCACAGCCATAGCCATATATCACCTCACGCCTCTTGACCTCCCTGTTGAAGTTAGGAAAAAGATTGATAGCCTCAGATGCGCCTATCTTTGGGCAGGCTACAATAAAGTGGCGGAGGCAAGTGTAAGGTTAAATGGTTAATTGGCACCTCGTCCTCCCTGTTGAAGTTAGGAAAAAGATTGATAGCCTCAGATGCGCCTATCTTTGGGCAGGCTACAATAAAGTGACGGAGGCAAGTGTAAGGTTAAATGGTTAATTGGCACCTCGTCTGCAAGCCCAAGGTTCATGGGGGTCTTGGTGTGCTCAACCTTGAGAAGTTTGCTTCAGCTCTGTGTCTCCATTAGTTGTGGTTCAAGTGGGCTGACCCAACAAAAACATGGATTTGGATGGGAACGCCTTGCACTGACAAGGATGAGGACCTTTTTGCGGCGAACACTACGGTGATCATTGGCGATGGTAAAATGGCTAAATTCTGGGAATCCTCTTGGATGAATGGTGTTCGACCCAAGGGCATTGCGCGCAAGATTTTCGAGATTTCAAAAAAGAAGGCGTGTGTGATTTTCGAGATTCTTCTCGGCTTGCAGGATGATCCTAACAATGTTGCATCAAGTCCTTTATTTTAATGTACCATCAAATTCGTTGGACATGCCCAGTTCCCAGTTTCCAGGAAATCTGGAACTAATTCAGAATGAGGTTCAGACTCTGAGGGCTGGGACCAGGAATGCACACAACAGCTCTAAATTTAAATTCGCCCACAAGGTTACAACTTACAACTGGGGAATTTGAATTTGTTCCAGGTTCCAACAGTTCCATTCTGAAAATTACATGAGTCGCATTGATCAAACGCTTTGATCAGCCCTAGTGCCCTAGTTTGGTTGTACTGACAGTTCATCCTCAAGGAAGTTGTATTCAAATGTGAAGTCGTTCTTGATCCTTTGGCACCTACGAGCGAGCGAGCGAGCCATCAATAATAACAGGGTTAACAACTCACAACCTTTAGCAGTACCAGTACTGCACTGGTCATCAATCCACACAACAAAAAATACTAAAGAGGGATCATCAGCTTACCACCCATTGCCGTCATCTGCGAGATGAAAATCAAAGTACACGTACGATCCCCGCTCATACTCATCGGTCGTGACCTGTGGCTCCACATGCCGTTGGAACCAAGTATTGTACTTCCTGTGAAATCTCCATGACTGCTTTTTTAGTTCTTTGGCGGCCAAATACTGTTGGTACGAGTTCTGCCAAAGTGGAAAAATAAAAAATAAAAAAAATGTCAAGAGCTTCATTAAAGCTGGATGAATGGTGCTGCAGGGAAAACAAAAAAATATACACTTGGAATTTGGACACAAGTATTATGAAGCCTGACCTGCTGATAGTAGAATGCAAAGAATAACATATCTGTAGACAATGTATCACTACCGAGCCTTTCCCAAAAAGCAGGATTTGTCACAATCGGTGCCTGAATCTGTGGGTAACTAGCAGGGGTCACTGAAGGGTGCCTCTGAAAAAGTAACCAGATAGGGAGGTTAAATCTACATTACAACATCTGGTGCATATATAAATGACAGAGCATCATCCATACCGGAATATAAGTTTTCGCACGCTCAGAGTCCTTGGGCTGGGGAAGCCTGTGGTATGCAGCTTCGAGCATTTGCAAATTATAAAGGTGATCGTGACCCGAAACTACCGAAGCTCCACTGAGATTGTCTCCAATTGCTCCAAAATCAGATACACTCCTCCGGCCGATAACACCAACACCAGATGATGGCATGCCAGCTTGCATAGGCTGCCCGGGTGATAGATCAGAGTCTCTAGATAGCTGGGTGCCTTCTGCTACGGATGCTGGAGGATTCTGTAAAAACCATACAAGAAAAATCAATGTTCAAATAATAAGAAAATATGCGCACCAAAATGCAATACACATCTACACAGAATTAAGGGTATGTCTGGTTCATGTTCAGAAGGTTGCCAAATTTTGGCCAGAATTAAGGGTATGTCTGATTCATGTTCAGAAGGTTGCCAAATTTTGGCCATGCCCAGGTCTATTTTGCCACTCTTATGCATTTTTCTAGCCAACATGGGCAAGCAACAGTGCAAAACCTTGGCAAAATTTTGGCTAACCGAAATTTTGATGGGGTATGCTCAGGCTCAGACCAAACACACGCTAAAATACTACTCCCTCCATCCCAAAATACTCAACTTTGTAGTAACTTTATACTAAAGTTAGTACAAAGTTGAGTCACTACTACCCCAAACATTTACTGCGAAAAAATTACACTGTACGTTGTTCTGATTTTTTTCTATTAAGCCACACAGGGTGACGTCCCAGGTGTTACATTATGTGCATTAATAGAAGTACAAGGAAATTATACAGTCAAAAACTATTAAGAATTAATGTCTAGCACATTGTAGGAGCACCGAAAAGATATGCAGATTGGAACTGATGTGACCAGTTCAGGTCTATTTTGCAAGCCAGATGGGCCATACACATGACCAGTTTTCCAAAATATGAGCAAAATAGCCCAGAATCCTGTAAATGGATGTTGTATTTACCTCTTTAAAAAAATTAGCTAAGAAATGCCGTAGATTTTAAGTTGTTAGTTACTCCACAATTTGATTATTCACACTGATAATTGCAGTGTCCTTAATTGTATGCACCTTGTTTCACTGAATTCATGAGCAGGCATGTATGGAAAAGTTGGACCATACCGAATAAGGAGCCTTAGTGTCATCTTCATTGGTGTGCTTATTAGGTCCAGTTGTTGCAGCAGACTCCACACTAGCATCATCGGCCAAGCCTTGTTGCTCATCACTTTTTGTTTGCCCAGCGTCTGCACATATTGATAAATTCTTAATGCACAAAACAAACTAGTGGTCAAACACTATGAGCGTCCAACTTTATATATACTAGAAATAAATGCATGGCCATTACATTGCTCGGGAATTTGGGATTCATGAGGTTCTAGCTGAGACGAGAAGGCAGAAGGGATACCTGGTCCCTGACCCCCTAGCCCAAGGCCCCCTTGAGAAGAGATAGAAGAACTCTGAGAATTAAACTGCAAAAATGAACAAATTGAAAATGTGAAAACAATCACTATAAAGAATTGACTTTTGACTTCAGATATTATAAGATGGTTAAAAAAGATTGAGGAATGCCTACACAAAATATTACTACAAACTTTACGAGTTGATTTGATGCTTTAACAGAAAGAGGTTAGAATGGAAGCATCTAAAGAAGGACCTGCACTCCTAAAGACAGAAAGGGCACAGCACCTAAGTAACACGCATACAATCAAAATTCGGTATATTCAACTAATTTGTACTTCCTGATTCTTGACTAAAGGAGATATTGATATATCACTTATCACAACATTTTTTATTAGTAAAAGCAGGAACAACCTGTTGTAAGAGGGAATTGGGCTGCTGGGTTGGAAATTGCTTCTGGTTGATGCCTGTTATATGAGAAGCGTTAAGAAGGTTGCCCTGCTGCTGCTGTACTTGTTGCAATCTTTGCAAGTACTTCTCCCTTTGGTCGGTGACCTCAGGTCTTCCACGAAATTGACCCTGAAAATGTGAATAAGTAAATGTCATATATTCCTATAATCCTATGGATATTTTATGACCTTGGTGATAGATTAACATTCTAAATAAATAAAATCTACAATAGGGAAAACACAGTTATTTAGATGTTTCAGACTGACACTGGATCAAGATGAATGAACAAGAATTCAAGATTGGGATGATGAAAATTTTCAAATAAATGCAAGTGTTGTTTGAATCAGTTGGAATTTAGAAGACTCAAAAGAACAGCATAATTGCTGAAGCACTCATACATCTGAAATGCCCATAAAATTCTTATGATCAATAACATCATTTGCAAAAGCAGAGTGGAATTCAGAAATAAAACTGGAGCAAAGGTACGTACAGTTTCACTTTGATTTTGGAAACCAGCAGGAGCTTGAGGCCTCCACTGAGCCCCAGGAACAACCGGAGGAGAAAATACCCTTCCTCCAATAACCGCACTTTCACTTGTGTTACTGGAATCAGAGCTAACTGCGTCGTTAGTCTTCAGAACCGGCTGTGGTTGAACTTTACTACCAAGAGGTGAAACCAACTGCTGAGAAAGACCGCCACTGTTAACCCTCTCATCGGTATTCATTATGTTTCGTTTGGACAGGTCATTTATTGGAGGAATTGCAGTAATGGACCCATTTCCTGGAACTGGGCCTACACTTATGGGAGCAGCTAAAGGCTGACTAGTTAAGCCACGGGCAATACCCCTGCCAAGACCAATTTCAGTAACTGCGGGAGACGGTCTACGTGGAGGAAAGCTCATGCTTTCATCATCCTTCACGGCAGTAGATAAGTTTGCAGGAGTTGAAGCAACAGCAGGCATGCTCTCTGGAGCATTTCGAACAGCAGCAGGAGCAAATATTGTGGGTGCTGTGGCAGGAATAACTGGTCGTACTGGGCCTGGGGAAGTAATAGTATCTGCCGAAACGGAAACAGCTGCAGCACTGGTACTAATGGCAGTGGGCACAACTGGCACTGATGGTCCCAGATTTCCACCCTTCGGAGGTGGTGTTTGTGGCACCGATTCAGGATTGCTTTCTAGCGTAGTTGTTTCCTCTGCTTGATCTTGTGATGTCCCTTGTGAGATTGTTGATACAGTAGCCTGAAGCGAAGGGAGACAGAGTCGGTAAATCAGCATATCAACAAGTAGTAATCAGGATTGTGCATTAGAAATAACCAATTCCTCAATCTTGTTAGCATGTGTTTTTATTAAATGCCCAAATTAGCTACAACCACGTGTATTCATATTCAAGGATTAGCTTGTAAGAAGATGATCAAATAAATCAATACTAGCATGTAAAGGTTGACAAGAAAGCAGCAGCCAGGATGCCAACTAAGCTGACACTGGGCACATAACAACCATTGTGTTCTGAGTATTCGATATACTAATACTATGTCTCCGTTTATCACAAACCAACGGATATTCAATAAATAACTAGGAATGAATAACATGTACCTGAGTAGGTGAAGTTGCTGTCGGACTCTTCGTACTCAAAACTGCAGTAGTGGAAACAGCAGCAACACCCTGGCGACCAAACAAGAAGCGATGTTGAAAATATATAATTACCCATATAACTAAAAGATGAAGAGCTGCACGACATAAAAACATGGTAGAGAAATGGTCTGCACCAGCATAGCAGACTAGCAGTATTTGTGGGGAAAAACATAAGAAAGTTTGCCAGTTGATTCTATTAGCAAAATCACAATAACCAAAATTAAAAAAAAATAACAGCTCACAGCTCACCTTGATAAGAATGGAAGGAGCAAGTGAAACCATGTCTTCGAGTGCTTCAACCTTCTCCATAGGCAATGTGCTATAGAGATCCTCAACATCACTAAATTCATCAAAATCTTCCTGAATTCGGATTAAGAAATCAATAGTCAGAACTAGCAGCAGATCCACAATGCTTTTAGGTCATCACAATTCCGACTTGACTATATCAAAAATACAAAAATGGATATTATGACAGATAAGCAGGAAGACAATCCCACCTGATTACGTTCAACATAGTCTTCTAGGAAATCTTTCACATCATTGACTTGCTCAGGACTCAACTCATCATTATCCAAGAGTCTCAGAATTGACTCCAATTTTTTTATATGAGCCTTATGCCGCGTAATAGATTTCTCTAAATGTACCTGATAATGCATAATTACTTCCTCTGCAATAGAGATTGTTGGAAACAGGTTCCGTAGACAGTAAAATATGAACACTTTCCAATCCTATACAGTTGATCATACCAATCGAGGAGGTCTTTGTTTTCCTTTCTTAAATGAAAGTCCTTCAAGCTCCGCTTCAAAATTATCAATCTGATTTTCCAAATCACTAACCTGTAAACCGAACCCAAAAGTATATTAGAAATGTAGCGCCCACATGCAACAAATAAATAGCAACACCACAAAATCACAAAGTAATGACATTTTTTGCAAGGTACAGAGTAATGACTGATATAATCAAAATATCAATAAACATCAGCAGAGTCAAGTATGCATGCAAATGTCATTAGCAAGGTGCGGAGTAATGACTTGATATAATCAAAATATCAATAAACATCAGCAGAGTCAAGTATGCATGCAAATGATACTTTCAGAGTGATCAGATAAAAGAAAATAGCCACAGTATAATAGTCTATACGATTTTGTTTTATTCTGAGAGGGACAAGTAACCACCAGTATAGTCAAAATATTAGCAAACGTCAGCAGTCGGGTGTGCATGCAAGTTATACTTTCAGACCAATCAGATCAGAAAAATAGTCATCAAATTCTAAATAGTCCATTATCAGTTGTCACAAAGCAGAATCTGCGAGTGTCTTTCAGAACATGCTCTAGGCCAAAGAGAAACAACAATACAATGCATATATGTTGCAGGTAACTTCTTTGTTTGCTCATGTTTACAGAAAGCCAACAACATGTAGACATGAGCGCACAAGACTAAGCATACATGTAATGCATCAAACATACCACACTGTTAAGCCAATCTCTTGTTTCAGCTTTAGCCTTCTCTCTAGGATCCTGCGTGAAATAAGAATTGATGCTGAGATTCATAACAACTAAAGAAAAAAGGGTTAATCAAATACAGAAACGAGACCGAGTGCATACAGTTTTAGGCTGTTGACCTAACCCTTCTTTCGAGAAGGCCTTGGTTTTAGTTTCCTTCTCACAGACCTTAAATCGTTCCATCTCGCGTTCAATCTGCTTGCGGGCATCCATGAGAGCCTGCTCATAAGAGGCACTAACCTATGTCAACATATATCACAAATGGATTAAACACAGAACGGTAAGCTATGCCCAACTTTAAATGGTAACATGTAACGAAAAGAAGTTGGCCCAAACACCACAAAACTGAAACAAATGAATAACTGCTTCTCTAAACGAACACCTACAATCAGGAACCCTGCCATATTTCTTCAGTAAAACACTCCTCAATTTACCAAAAAAAAAAAAGAACAACTTTCATGCAGATTGCCTTATTGCATTGAACAACTTTCTAAGTGAAGTCGATGCCTTGATCAGAAGACCTTCTCACAACTGTGGGCTACACAGCTAAATCCAATCATGGCTTAATGGTACAATTTGAACACAAGGTAAAAGCAGTTCTATAAGTAACCTTTACTCACATTCAGATGAGAAGATCAAACGAAGACCTCTAATGTTCCATTCTAGACATTATCAGACCACAAGATCTCCCAAGTAATAAATCCATTCAAAACCCATCATCTAAATTCTTCGCCTCTTACTACCACTCACTCAAGTTTACAATTGTTTTAAAATCAGCTTAGTTATACTTTTGGTTCTTCGAAAAAAAGTGTCGGCTGTTATTCTTATTACCCCACTTAAATAAAATACCATCATGTGCAGAGTCACTTGGAGCAGTCGAGTATGATTTCGTATTCCAGACAATCATGATATCAAATTTTCTTTCAATTCAGAAGAGAAGTGCACCTAGACGGATACTAGTACGACGTCGTGCAACCAAAGTCGAGCAAGAATATCAATGTCTAAGACAGACACAGAAGCACGGAAAACTGGATTAACAGTCGTCCAAGCAGCTAGCAGCGACAGTTAAGACACTTAACCTCCCCCAACGCCTGTAAGAAGGCATTTCCTCCAGATAACTTAGCACCAAAGCCGCATCTGAACTAAACAGTTGACTGAACAGACGAGCGTGGCAGCAGATAATTCTCATGGAGGAAGGAAGGGAGGAAGCAGTTCCATCCATCCAGGCAACAAACACACTACATACTGATTAGGGAGGCGAAACGAAGGGGCGTCACCTTCTTGTCCTTGATCTCGCTGGACTGGATCCAGGTCTTGATCTGGTCGCGGTAGCGCTGCAGCTTCTTGATCTCCTTCTTGAGGTCGGCCTCGAACTTCTCCTTCTGGTTGGCATTCTCGGTGTCGTAGACCTGCCGCCGGAGAACCATGAGGAAATCGTGCAAAATCCTGAGAATCGGGGGAGAAGGGGGAGAGGAGGGGGGACCTTGTTCCAGATGCTGTCGAAGACGTCGACGCCCTCCTGCACCTTCTTGAGCACGCGGTCGATCTCGCCCTGCAGCTTCCGACTGGCCCCCATGGCATCCGGCGCTCCGGCGGGCAGGCGGGGCTAGGGTTTACGATTGGGGGGAAGGGGAGGGGAGGTTTTTTTTCTTCTTCTTGTGTTGGGGGATGGGGATGGGGAGGAGTGGAGGATGACGTTCGTTTATTCGTCGGCGGTGGATGGATGGATGGATGGATGATGGGGGCGCGGCGCCCCTGTGTCTCGCCCATAGCGAGACGTAGGGAAGGCGAACCAGATGGGCCAGCCCGGCCACGGCCTCGTTTCTTTGTTTTTTACAGGTATTTTGTTTTTATTTTTTTTATTTCTGTTTTTTTACTTTTGTTTACACATCTTAATATTCTAAATAAAATATATTACACGAATTAATTTATAAAAATTGAAAACAAATGCTAACCAAACATTCAGAAAATCTTAAATGTGTATAGAAAAATTGTTTCTCATGCACACGCAAAATGTATACAAAAAATATACGATGTGTGTAAAAAACCTGGCCATTTATTTTTTTTTTAAATGTTAATCAAGCAAAGATTTGAAGCGCATAGAAAAAAAGGTTGACCATGTATTCGAAAAATGATTAACATGCATTTGGAAAATGTTAAGCAAGCATTTGAAAAAGATTAATCAAGCATTTTCAAAATATTAAATGTGTATAGGAAAAAAGGTTGACCATGTATTAAAAATGGGTAATATTGTATTGAATTAGAAAAATTAAGCTTTTATTTGAAAAATGTTAATCAAGCACTCGAATAATGTTAAATGCATATAGAAAAAATGTCGACCATGTCTTCAAAAAATCTTAATCTTGCATTTAGAAAATGTTAATCAAGCATTTGAAAAAATGTTAGATGTGTACAGAAAAATGTTGACCATGCATTAAAACAATGTTAATTTTGTATTCGAAAAATGTTAACCAAGCATTTTATAATGTTAAAAATGTGCAGAAAAATGTTGACCATGTATCCAAAAAAATGTTAATCAAGTATTTGAAAAATGTTTAAAACGTGTATGCAAATATTGAATATGTATTCAAAAAATGTTAAGCTTATAATTAAAATGTGTTAAAGGTGTATTAGAAAATGTAGAATGAGAACCAAAAGAAACAAAGAAAGATGAAAAATAAAGAAAGAGGAAAAAGGAAAACAGGGAAAGAAACCAAAGAAAAAAGAAAACCAAAGAAATAGGTGTAAAAAGAACGGAAAAACAATGAAAACCAATAAAGAAAAAATGAAAACCAAGAAAGAAAGAAAAAATCAAAGCAGAAAAAGATGGAAATTGAAGAAAGAGGAAGTTATGTCAGAGAAAAACGAAGGAACAAATAAAACTAAGAAAAGGAAAGAAACCAAAAAACAAAGAAAAAAGGAAAAGAAAAAACCAGTGAAAACAAAGTAAACATAAGTTATATCAACGAACAAAAAACCAAATAAACTGGTGAAAAACAAACATAATCAAAGAAAACCAAAAGAAAACGAAAAAAGGAAGAAGAAAAACTAGAGAAAACTATAGCAGAGTGAACATGCAGCAAGCAAACCACACTGGCCGAGTAATTGTGCTAATGAGCCGGCTCGCTAGCGATGCGCCTGATGCGAAAGCTTGTTCCATCTCGCTAAAAGCGAAATATAGAGGCACATAGTCTTGCTAAGCACGCTTTAAGACTTTCGTTAGAATGCCATTTGTGGATTCTTAACCCTTCAGACATAAATTGTATCCCATGAACCTTATTATGACCAATAAAGAGAAGTGCGTTTACACTAAAAAAAAGCTCTCACGGGATGATGGGGCCCTTCTTTTTTTAGAGAAAGAGAGAGAGAGAGACAATGATAGGGCCTGCTTTTTGTGGGTGTGGATGTGGGCTGGTAGCCTGTGGTTCATTTTCGGATAAGCAAGCAAGCGGGCTGATTTGTAAAAAAACAAGCAGGGGGCTGATTGATGTAATCTCTACTGTTAAAGAGGGGTTCGTAGGTCGTTTAGTTTAGTTACTCATCGATCCGGCGTCACTTGAAGCCTTGGCTTGTCGGTAAACCATATCCCTAGCGCAGGACATGGGACTGCAATATCTTAACACCAGGATTCCACGCCACGTACAATCGCATCAAGCGACTCTTTGCGTGGCACGGCATGAAGGCTTAGATCAAACAAAGTGCCAAGACCTTTATGGTCTGTCAACAGGCAAAAACAGAGAGGAAATCGCCTGCGGGACTTCTTCAGCCGCTACCAATTCCAAAAAGACCATGGGCAGTGGTTTCTATGGACTTTATCGAGGGACTGCCACGTTCTGGCAGATACGACACAATTCTGGTGGTAGTGGACAAATTTTCAAGGTATGCCCATTTTCTGCCGTTGAAGCATCCATTCATAGCATTGACAGTCGCGCAGAAGTTCATGAAAGAGATCTTTCGATTGCACGGCCTGCCTCTCGCAATCATCTCAGACCGTGACAAGGTTTTCACAAGCAAGGTGTGGCAAGAACTGTTCAAGCTCTGCCGAACAGAGTTGAGACTCAGCTCAGTGTATCACCCACAGACCGACGGGACGACGGAACGAGTCAACCAGTGCTTGGAGGGATACCTCCGGTGTGCGTTGCACTCGTGTCCTGCCAATTGGTCAAAGTGGTTAGCTCTGGCAGAATACTGGTACAACACCTCGTTTCACTCGGCCTTGGGCAGAACGCCGTTCGAGGTTATCTACGGACAGCTGCCGCATGAGTTTGGAGTGGACCAAGTGGAGCAATGCTCGGTGCCCGACCTTGCGGCATGGTTGCACGAGCGAGGGATCATGATCGAGCTCCTTCAACAGCAGCTGAAACTTGCCCAGGACAGAATGAAACGACAGGCTGACAAGCACCACACCGACAGAGCGTTTGAGGTTGGTGATGCAGTACTGCTCAAGCTGCAACTGTTCATCCAGTCCTCGGTGGAGCAACGCCCCCACCAGAAGCTGGCGTTTCGCTATTTCGGGCCTTTCCGCGTCCTGGCTCGCATCGGCGCGGTGGCGTACAAGCCGGATCTTCCGGCATCCAGCAAAATCCATCTAGTTGTGCACGTGTCGCAGCTAAAGAAGGCCGAAGGCGCGCAGGTTCAGGTGAATTCGGATCTCCCACCTGACAATGCTGTCTTGCAGGCCGAGCACACTCCGGAAAGGGTTCTCAAACTTTGGATGATTCAGGTAGGCAGCGCGCTTCAGTCACGTCTGCTGGTCCAATGGCGTGGATTGCCAGAGTTCATGGCGACCTGGGAAGATCCGGCCAAGATGCAACAACAGTCTCCAGCCACCCCGCCTTGGGGACAAGGCGAAACGCAAGAGGGGGAGGATGTCACGGTGCCCCCACCTGGCAGGGAGAATGCCAGCACATCCAAGGACGACGAGGACGCGGAAGCAAAGGCGTGACCGCCTGGCATGTGGGCCAGGCTGTGAGTGTGTGTGGGCGTGAGTGTGGCCCGCGTGCTGCGGGGTTAAGTAACAAGCAGCTACCAGTGGGTGGGTATCGAATATTCCAGCGAACAAACCGAACCGAAGAGAGAAGCTGTTCTTCCCCTCTCGACGATATCCAGATCCCCTTTCTCCTGCTTCCCCGATTTCCTGTTCTTCCTCATAAACCCTAGATCGAGGTCCGTAACAATTACTTAACGGTGACGATAAAGCTAAACACGGCATACGAGGTACGGAAAACAAGTGAGTGAACCCATGGCGGTTTTTTTTTCTGGTTTCTGGCCAGTATATTTGTGCCGTTGAGGTGGATGGAGAGATTTTTGCAAAAAGGAAAAAAAAAGATGAGAGGTCCGGCACGTAGTGCATGTGTGATCACTGTGCAACTTGTACGGCTTTGGGCTACTGCACTAGCTAGAAAACATAACACCAAGACGAGAGGGCACACACAACAACATGGGCTTAATTATCGTCAGAGAGTCACTAGTAATTACATAATCAGTTATACAGTATATTAAATTAAATTAACATGAAACGACTTGAGCAAACGACCGGATCGATGGAGAGGCGCCTCCCATCATGCGGCATGTGTTTGGTGGAGTGCATATCTGGTGATACCGTGCGTGGTATGATACGCTGATACCGGATCATGTGGACCGTTGGATCTGGACTGGAGGCGCATGATTGAGTAGCTTAGTTCGCGTTGGAAATTATGCACGAGACACCCTGGGCTATTTCGAAATTCGGCGACTAAGTGGATATCGCTCTGTTCTGTTCGGCCGTTGTTCTCGATACGGCTTGTTTCCCCACCGCCGCTGCCGCCGCCGGCCACCATGGTGCGTACCCCCTCCACTGTTGCTCGCCTTAACCCCCACCCCCTCCCCCTCCCCCGCGCCGCTGAAGCCGACCAAGTCGCGCGAGCCGAAGACCCTGCCCGATGGCGATTGGCTAAGAGGCAGCGCCTCCTTTCTCTTCCGTATTCCTGATTTGATTCTTTGGTTTTAGGACTGGATATCGGCGCTGTAGGAGTCGGTGTCGTTCGAGAGGTTCCTATCCGAGCCAGTCCAGTGGTATACCATGGCGCATGTCTCGCTGGCACCGACGGCGATTGGACATGGCAGCTGTAGCAGTACAGGTCAATTTGTCTGCAGGCTGCAGCAGGATCTGCCTCCTCCAACTGCGATGTTGCGTGCATTAGCAGTTCTGGACCAATCGGAGTTGTACGCCATGATTGCCCACGGAATGCAACAGATATGGGAGGAGCCAAGCTCATATGGTTAGTTCATCCTTTAATCTCAGTGTCCGTCGAGACATCTTGTTTTTAGAATAAAAGATTGGCTTGTCAATTGCCGTCCACAATGTAGCACTTAGTTATAAAAATTTATCTCGCAATTCAGTCTCAATAGATGGTAAAGTTAGTTTGGAGCAGAGATATGTATGAGTATTTTAATCTTTGAAGAACTAGAAGAATGTCTATCAGTGTTATAATGTTGACTGCCACTTCCTCTCCTAACAATAACATGTCTATCTGAATTGTAAATACACACAATCTTTCTTATAAAGTTTTCTAGAATGTTTCTTACATATAGTAG